CCCACCCCCACCACTACCACCCCAACACCATCACCACCACCGCCGCCACCATCGCCAACACCACCATCACCACCACCGCCACCACCATCGCCACCATCACATATTTTTATAAGGGTATTTATGTCTTTTAAAACATATTTCATTTCTATTCCTTAAATCAACCAAACACTGTAATATAAGTCATAAAGTCTATTCCTTCCGCGAACCAAACAATAGAATACAATTCATATTCTATTCCTTGCTTATTCCATTCCTTTTGGAATAGCATTCCTATTACCTCAAAATTCATTCCGTGAACCAAACGTGCTGTAAAAGTAGATATACTAGATAGTAGTTCAAGCCGCAAAGTAAACTCACGAAGTCAAAACCTCGAAAAGTCAAGAATCCAAAAGGTACAAGGATAGTTTACAACCAAAAGGTTCAAGAGTTGAAGACCGAGAAGTTGAAGACTTGAAGACATATAAGTTTATTGGACCGAAAGGTAAGATTAATTGAACGAAGATAGAAATAGAGTGGAGTAGAACTACACAAACCTTCAAATCGCTATAAATTGCTTGTCTCACTTATTTTCAGTATTTACTTTACATACGCATATGTATCATTACTTAAATCCTTCTATTTTTAATACATCTTTTTGATGTTATGACTTATGAATTATCATTATTTCATTTATTTGAATGTGTTATTTGAATGTTAACCTTACCTCAGCTCTATGTAACCTATCACAACTCTATCTGATCTTTTCTAAATAATAAACAGATGACATAGTTTTGATATGTTTTTTGTCCCCAAAGCAGTGGTCTCACAGATAAAAGATCAATAAACCACTCTCAGTGAGAATTAAACTTAAGATTTTGCGGTTAGCAAATTAACAACCCGACAAATTTGATTGGGGTTGCTTTGAATCACTTGTTAATTATACAGTAGACCATAGTCCACACATCGCTGTGTGGACCATGATCCTCGAATGAAACTATATATAGTAGAATTAAAATGATACTTTAGTGTTAGTATAATGAAACTAGCTTAGTGTGTGTGGAAAAATGAAACTAAAAATAAAAAACAACGGAGCACAATATTGTCAAATAAAACTATAGTTTAATTAAAATAAACTGTAGTATTACTATAATGAAACTTGTGTGTGTGGAAAATAAAAATAAAATCCAAAGTCATACAATACATATATTGTCATATGACCTGAAGTGCAATTAAAATAATACTTCAACATTACTGTAATTAAACTAGTGTGTGAAAAAATGAAATAAAAAAAAAAAATTGAGCTCAAGCAATAATATATATTATCAAATGAAATTATAGTAGAATTAAAATTATACTTCACTATTGCTATAATGAAACTAGTGTGGAGGGAAAATGAAACTAAAAAACATAGCAATATTGTCAAATGAAACTAAGTATAATTAAAATGATACATACTTCATGATTCATGCTGCTACATAGACCATGGTCCATAGCAGGGGGCAAATTATTGTGTGGACCATGGTCCACACAATGTTATGTGAACCATAACAAAAAGTACATTTTTAATATATTAAATGTACATTATTTTTGTACTGAATGTACATTATACAATATAATGTACACTCAGAACAAAAATAATGTACATCACCTGAATACAATGTACATTATTTTACAATAGTAAATAAAATATGGTCCATACAACTTGTGTGGACCATGGTCCACACAATAATGATTGATAGCAAGGCCGTTCCAATAAAAATTGGGGCCCTGCACAATATCATAATTTGGGCCCCTTTTTCATAAGTAATTTCTATATATAAATAATAGTTACGCTGTTCAAAAAGTTGTATCAACATATAAACATTGCATAAAAAATACATCTAAAATTTTATTTAAAAAGTGACACGCGTCGTGCACATTTAGACGCAAAATCATCTACCAAACTTTTGATATCAACTTCTTCCGAAAGCTCATTTTCAATGGAGATTAAAGCTAATCCGTTGAGTCTCTCTTGCAACATACTTGATCGTAAGTAAGATTTCAACAATTTCAACTTCGAAAAACTCCTTTCTGCAGAGGCAACAGTAATTGGGATAGTCAATAATATTCGATATGCAATAGTAGCATTTTGGAAAACAACCCATCTGTTTCAATGAATTCAATATACTCAGTGTCCTTACCTATCTTTTCTTTTGATAAAATCTCTCTAAGCAATTTTAGCTCCAAATACAATTCATTTCCATCAATATCATCACACTGATCATCTCTCTTAAGAGCTGCTTCTAAACAAGTGCAACAAGACTTCAAATTGATATCAATCATCAATTGTAACTTGTCAGAACTAAACAAAAAAATCAAAATTTCCTTCATATACTTCATATTGCTCAAACCTCTGGGTCAATGAAATAATAGCTTGATCTACAATATATAAATAATAATGAACCCTAAAAGATTCTTCGGGTGATAATGAAGTGTCATCAACACTCTCATCAAATTGTCTTTTTCTACGAATTTTTCGCTTTTGAGGAAACACTGGCTCAATTTCTAATTCATTGGCAATTTCCTTTGCACTATCCATGGTACTAGAAAAACTATTTTCTCTATAATTCTTGAAGAAAGAAACTAACCCTTTAATTTGATTAATAGCAATATCAAGAAGCATATCTTTTGTTTGTAATTGCTTGCTAACTAAATTAACCGCATATAAGATTTCAAACCAAATGACTGTGGCTAGCAAAAATTCAAAGTTACTAAGCTCATTTGTAGGTTAAGATCTTGCCTCACTTTGAATTTTAGAATCATTGTTTGTATCTGCTACTTGAAGTAGGGCTTCTCGAATCACACTGACTTGATATCTAATTGCTTATAGTCTGACCTAATTGTCCTTATATCTCTATAGGGTTGCATTCACATGCAAACACCCTTAAAATACAAACATGTGGACATATACCGTGCACACACATAAATGCGTGTGTGCACACATCTGTGGACGACAGTGCACACACCTAAATGTGGGTGTGCACACATCCGTAGTATGTATGTGTGAATCCACAGTATTTGGGCCAGTGTGCACAAGTTCATGAACGACAGTGCACACAGGCGGACACAGCACACAAAAACATAAAAACTAATCACAACCTTAGATATCCAAAATTCAACGATCCAAAAATGTCCACACGTTTGTATTTTAAGACCTATTTTTACATGAATGTAATTCTATATATATATATATATATATATATATATATATATATATATATATATATATATATATATAGGTTTTTAAAGCAATTTGGGCTCAATTTTCTTTTTATAAAATAAATACTATTATTACTATATATACCTATAGTTTTATTTTTAAAATATATACCTATATCAGAACCGGCCCTGGTCCATAGTAACAATTGCTATACCATAGACTAGGGTTCATATTGCATTGTGACCCTGATACAAAAATTGTGTACTTTCAATTAACACATTTTGAATAGCTTCTGTGCATGTAAACAAATAACTTGATAATTGTTGACACAAAATATGATAGCTACAGACAGGTACAGAAACTATCAACCGCAAGTACTGATGTGTCAACTATAGCTACAGAATCTGAATGTTATTTTTGGACATGTATAATTTGCCCAGAGCAAAATTTGTCGCTCCAAATCTAAAAACATAATAAGTCTCAATCAAAGTTATATCAATCATTTATGTCAATAATTGTAATGCTAATCATTTTGTACATTGTGCTTTTAGAGTTGTACAATATAATTTTTTGGACAAAAATATCCCTACCATTATAACTTTCGTTATCTTTTTCTATTATTGTTACCATGCATATGCATCCATCATATATTTTCTTATATTCTTTAATTATAATAATATTTGTGACATTATATATTAAATTATTATAATAAATAAATTTGATTTTATATAAATTTTGATTAGTAAGGATTTGTAAGTTATTTAAGTGGGCATAGATTTTTGCGCATCGGGCATACAAAATACTAGTAAAAATATAAACCTTGCATAATTTAAAAACTTGATAATATATTTACAAAATTTCAAGAAAAAACGTTTAAAAAATTTTGAGCAATAAAGATAATTATAATAGATTTCCCTACGTACCACTGGCAACCCCGCACAATATAAATATATAATCTCAAATTAAAGTCTCTCTCTCCCTCCATCTCCATGCAGATGCTCTGATCCTCTATCTGTTATAAGGTTAAATTTTCTATTTCCCTTCCAAAACACTTCTCTTTAATTCAATCTCTTTTTTTAAACTCTGTGTGTCTCTCTCTCTCGTATTTTATACGTTTCTATATATAAACACCCAAACAGATCAGAACAAGAAAGCTGCGGTAGGGGGCAATGGTCCATATCAGTCGAGGAAGCGTGGAAGAAGTTTTCGTACAATTCAAGAATCGAAGGACTGCCTTACTCAGAGCTCTCACTACAGGTAACGTACTGCTCCATATTGCATGTTTAATTACTTTAATCAAAAGAAACCATTTTTACTTAATAAAGGAATGGGGGTTTTCTTTATGCGTTTTTCCAGATTTTGATGAAGTTTATACGCAGTGTGACACCCCAGGTAAAGCTTTCTTTTTTATCTTCTTGTGCAAGATATAGATACCTGCTATATATGTTCTTTGAAATAATCTTTTCTTTTCTTGATGAACAAACATTCACGTTCTTGACTATATACGCTCTTCAGATTTGCATATATATGATAATTCCTTGAATATATATATATATATATATATATATATATATATTATATATATATATATATATATATATATATATATATATATATATATATATATATATAATGCATGCATGGAATTGAAAGAATTGAAATGTGTTAAGTTTGGGGTTGTAATTGCAGCTCAGAGTTGTGAGCATAGCCTTATTGGACATCTGGTTGAAGAATGGGAAGTACTAGTGAATTTAGAATTAGAAGAAGAAATGAAAGCACTAATTGGAGAGCTTCCTCATCCCCATTGGGGCATTAACTTTGCTCGAAATACAATGGAGAAAAAGGAGTGGCTCACTATGGTTGCACGTCACAGTGACACATGGCTATTTCGTGTTGCATTCTATTTTAGTTCAAGATTTCGCCATGACCAAGCTGATAGGTATGCATGCACCTTTAATTTTAATTTGTGTTATACTGATCGAATTGAAAAGAGAATGAATAAGTAATTTTAATTTCACTGCTCTAATCTCATTTGATTTGCTGTCACAGGAGTCGACTTTTCAATATGATAAATGAATTCCCTACCATCTTAGAAGTTGTGTCAGCTCAATGATGACAGCCAGCCAGATCAGAGGTATATATATATATATATTAGATTGAGTACAGTGAGTGTGGCTGTAGTGCCAACAAATACACGATCGAGTTCGAATTTTATTGCAAAAAAGTCACACATTTTGGTTTGGATTTAATTTGAGTATATATTAATGTATGTTTGGTTTGGATTTCAGATAAAGTGGCCAGTGTGTGGAAGATGCAATGAGAGGTATATAGAAGGTGACTTGTGGAAACAGTGTTCGGAATGCCAAACCCCTTTCCATTTGATGAAATGCCTCAAACTCAACAAGGATAAGCATCGTCTATTACAGGGGCCTAGCTTTTATACTAGACAATGGCTACTAAGTATAACGGTTACAATAATAATTGTTGAACTCTCCTTTATAAGTGTACTTGGCCATCTATAACTGTATATTGGAATACGAATTTGATGACATAAATATAATAATATTGATACTTCTTTGTTATTAGTTACTAATATGTTTTTTTTTGCTCTAATTTGCAGCACTAACTTTAATCAGTTTAATTACTTTGTTCTTCTGATCTTTGTGTTTTTTTTACCCTATATGTTTCCATGATTGTGCTATTGAATGTGTGGGCAGCTAAAATAAAATATTCAAGTTTTAAAATATTTTGGATGTTGAATTTCTTATTTTCTTGCTTTAAATGTATTTTGCATTATTTAATTATTTATTAATGCAACATTTTAATTATGATAGTAGTAGAGAGATTTTTAATCACGCGAGAAACAATATTAACTTGCGAAATGGGAACTTGTGAAGGATTGCACCACAACTATTACATGATTGCACTGCTATGACTCCCAGACATGTCTGGAGGACCTTGCGGTGCAATCGTATCCGAGTTCGGTGCATCCATGTAGTAGGTGCAGTGCAATCCTTTACAAATTCGCAATTCGCAGGTTAAGATTGTTTCTCACCTGATTATGGACCATAGTAGAGAATTAATACTTATAGATGTTTGAAAAAATATTTATAAATATATTACATATTTTAATGTTTACACTTAATTTCATTTCACATGATCATTTCCGCAATAAGAGTGGCATAATACACATACTCCAGTTTTTAGTTCATTTTCTCCTCTCTATTTACATATTCATTCCAACAAAAGTGAACCACATGTTTTATTAATTTAGTTTTTTCTTTCCCCAATAAATCAAGACTCTTATCATTTTTTCTTGTTGAGATTAAGCAAGAACAAGAAACATAATAATGGCAGTAAAGGGTAAAAAAGACAAGATTTACGTGGTTCGGCAAAGTGCCTACATTCACGGGAGTGAAACAATTGTTATATTCATAGTGATGGTGATAGTGATGACACAACCCCTTAGGGATACAACCAATATATTTATAGGCATCTAATCCCTATACAATGGGTCTACCCGTTTCACTCCTGTTCCTAGTATGAGACAAACTCATATTCCTAATCCCTATATGAGACAAACTCAACAATCTCCACCTTGGCGAATATGCTCTTTAGGAGAAAAAGATAACTTAACAAATCTCCACCTTGACGAATATGCTCTTTAGGAGAAAAGACTTATCTCACCATCTCCACCTTCACATATATGCCCTTTAGGAGAAAAGACTATCTCCACCTTCGCAAATATGCCCTTTAGGAGAAAAAGATAACTGAACAAATCTCCACCTTAGCAAATATGTCCCTTAGGAGAAAAGACTTATCTCACCATCTCCACCTTCACAATTATGCCCCTTAGGAGAAAAAGACTTATCTCACATATACACATGGGTAGGAACAACCATGCTCATCCCAACTAGCCAGCCACTATGCATACGCAGCATCAAACGTTACCCAGTGCATGTACACGAACCGCTTGTTGACCAGTCAGACTATTAAACTTACAACTGGCCATATATAACAATAAAAAAATGGAGGAGGGGGGGGGGGGGAGAAATTTTCCAGAATATATATAACATAAATACCAAAAAAAAAAAAAAAAAAAAAAAAAAAGGGACGTCGTTGTTACAGCTGGCCAGTTCTGGCCAGCTGTAAACAAGGCCTGGTCGGTCGTAGCGACCGACCGGCATTGTCATGGCTGGCCAAACTGGCAAGCTGCAAGCATGGCCTGGTCGGCGACCGACCGGCATTGTCACGTCCGGCCGAACTGGCCAGTCGCAGGCAGCCCTGATTTGTCGCTGCGATCGACCAACTAGCCCTGTGCCGGCTGGTCGGATGCAGCGACGACGACCGGTTTCTTTCACTCAAAAAAAAAAAAAAAAAAAAAAAGAATCCCGTGGATGGTGGAGATACTTAGCTTACACGGTATAACGCTTAGATTAGCAATAACATCAAACTGTGCTTGTTCTGTATCAAGGAGGTAGCGCCATGCGAGAACCTCTTGGAGAAAAATAGCTTGAGAAACACAGAGTTTACTATCTATGATACTTGAAGACTTGACAAGATTTCACTGACAAGAAGGAAAATGGCTTAAGAAACATCATACTTGGCATTTGTTTTGTTTGATATTGTCGTTTTGTGAGTTCCCACACTTGACCAGCAGATCATAGTCATCATACGTACGAGATTTACAGACCTTCGGTAACCTACGTTCAATCCGTAAGCGGGAAATCCCTTTTTGGCGAGCAAAGAAATACAAATATCTTTAGCATTATTATTATTATTATTATTATTATTATTATTATTATTATTATTATTATTGTTGTTGTTGTTGTTGTTGTTTTTATTATTATTATTATTATTATTATTATTATTATTATTATTATTATTATTATTATTATTATTACTACTAGTATTTTCACCCGTGCGATGTACGGAATTGAATTGTTGTAATATATTAAGAATATTTAAATCGATAAAGAGTTAATTTCACCAGAGGTCGCTTATCTTTCCTGACAATTCCAAATTTAATCTTAGACTATAGTTATTAATTATTACGATTTATTCTATGTTATAATTCTTACGTTAATATTCTTACTAATATTATTAACACTTAATTACTTTTAAATATTATTTTTACCACTTATATTATTATTATATTGTTATTATTATTATTAGTTTCTTTTCAAGTTTTGTTAACATACAATGACCGTGAGGCACACAATAATAATATAACCATAATTAAATATTCTTGTATTGTATTCCGTGAGTCACAATAATAATATAACAATAATTAAATATTCTTCTAAGATTTCTAGTACCATCATTAATTATTCCCTAATTTAACATAATTAAATAATTTGACCAATTATAAAGAGAGATTATCAAATAATGCACGAGACAATTTTTTAATTAAAAATTTTAAAAATTCATTAATAAAACATAAGGTTCTCATAGTTTTTTTTAGAAACTATTTAATAAAGAACTTTTTTTAAAAAATTGGTGGGCCAAACCGCTTACCGCTGTTTGCGGTGGATAGATCTCGAAAAAATACGCGATTTCAAAAAAGCATTTGTCCAAAACGGACAACCGAGTCAAAAGTTATGCCTTGCCGAACTTTTGACACATCACAACTTTGACCTAGAATTATTGTACGAATGGGAAGTAGAAATTAATATATTTTATTGAGAATAGAGATTTTTTAGGAATTTAGCAGGAAGTTAAAATTCCAGGATTTTGTTATTATATATAGTATAGATATAGATGTACAAAGGGAATTGTATTACACTATTTTAGAATAGAAATTTTATCCAGAATTATTGTACGAATGGGAAAGTAGAAATCAATATATTTTATTGGGAAGAGAGATTTTTTAGGAATTGGGCAGGAAGTTAAAATTCCAAGATTTTGTTATTATATATAGTATAGATATAGATGTACAAAAAGAACTGTATTACACTATTTTAAAATTTTAGAATAGAATTTTTAACCAGAATTATTGTACGAATGGGAAAGTAGAAATCAATATATTTTATTGGGAAGAGAGATTTTTTAGGAATTGGGCGGGAAGTTAAAATTCCAGGATTTTGTTATTATTATATATATATAGTATAGAAGTATAGTAGAAATCAATATATTTTATTGGGAAGAGAGATTTTTTAGGAATTGGGCGGGAAGTTAAAATTCCAGGATTTTGTTATTATTATTATTATATATATATATATATAGTATAGAAGTATAGATAGAAGTATAGATGTACAAAGGGAATTGTATTACACTATTTTAGAATAGAAATTTTATCCAGAATTATTGTACGAATGGGAAAGTAGAAATCAATATATTTTATTGGGAATAGAGATTTTTTAGGAATTGGGCGGGAAGTTAAAATTCCAAGATTTTGTTAATATATAGTATAGTATATAGATAGATAGTAGCATTCAAAAAAATATATATATAGATAGATAGTATAGATTATTATTATTATTATTATTATTATTATTATTATTATTATTATTATTATTATTATTATTATTATTATTATTATTATTATTATTATTATTATTATTATTATTATTATTACTACTAGTATTTTCACTCCTGCGATGCACGGAATTGAATTATTGTAATATATTAAGAATATTTAAATCGATATATAATTATTAAAACAAAAAAAAAATTAATCGCCGGTTCACCCAGCGAGGTGGCTGCTGAAGAGGTCGATTCCGGCCTTCATCACCGCGACCAGCGGCGCGATTTATGCAACACTGAAATATAGTATAGATATAGATTAGAATAGGAATAGTATTACACAATATTATAATATTAAAATAGAATTTTAACGCAGAATTATTATACGAATGGGAAATAGAAAACAATATATTTTATTAGGAAGAGATTTTTTTAGGAATTGGGCGAGAAGTTAAAATTTCAGGATTTTGTTATTATATATAGTATAGATTGATTGATTAGAATAGGAATTGTATTGCACTATTTTATAATATTAGAATAGAATTTTAACGCAGAATTATTGTACGAATGGGAAAGTAGAAATCAATATATTTTATTAGGAAGTGAGATTTTTTAGAAATTGGGCGGGAAGTTAAAATTTCAGGATTTTGTTATTATATATAGTATAGATATAGATTGATTGATTAGAATAGGAATTGTATTGCACTATTTTATAATATTAGAATAGAATTTTAACGCAGAATTATTGTACGAATGGAGTAGAAATCAATATATTTTATTAGGAAGAGAGATTTTTTAGGAATTGGTCGGGAAGTTAAACTTTCGGGATTTTGTTATTATATATAGAATAGATAGAATAGATTGATTGATTAGATTAGGAATTGTATTGCACTATTTTATAATATTATAATAGAATTTTAACGCAGAATTATTGTACGAATGGGAAAGTAGAAAT